TGTCTGTCTGTGGGGGGCGGTGTGGGCGGGTGTGGGGCGGGGGGGGGGGGCGGGGGGGGGGGGGGGGGGGGGGTCCAAATTTCTACCCTAAACACTTCAACACTCCTTTCAGATCGTGTTTTACAAAATATATTGTAAATAAAACAATTATTTTTCATAATACAATTTTATTTATTTAAGTCTTCTATATTCATTCAATTGATTAACAAAAACAATAAAAATCTTTATTATACATATTTGTGACTTTAACAACATTTAATATTAATAATAATTTATTATTTTTCTTTGCATCATACTTTATATATTATATTCATCTATCGTGTATTTTAGAAGACGAAAGTATTATGTTAAAAACCATATCTATGAAATCATATTTTCATATCCTCGGATTGTTATTTCTATTGTGTTGGATGACTAATAAAAGTGAGATTAATTTCAATAATTAAAAAACGAAAATTTATCGAATAAATACATTATGTTTCAGGTTATTCTATTGTAATTAGAAGTAATGATGAATTAGATGACGGCATGTGTAATGTATGGGGGGATCCTCATATTTTGATGTTGCCTCAAGTAGTAAATGGACCTCGACCACAATATTGGTGTAGAACAGAAGGTGAACATCTTATCTATCAAAGTGATTATGTTCGATTTAGTATTACTATTACTAAAATACCATTCTGGAAAGAACAGGTTAATAGAAAAATCATAGAACAAAAAAAGCTTTAAATAAAACAAGATTGATAATGATTCCATTTTTCTTTTAATTAGTTTACTTTTATATTTTCTCACGACGGAGCACCATTTTGTATACTTGATAGTTGTGGACGTAGCTGCAGTAATTCTAGTAAGATATTTATTTATTGGCACAGAATGATTATATATATATATATTATTGATAGAAATCAAAATTACAACAATGAGTTCAACGATGTATATCACTTATTCAATTGCGTCTTTACGAATAGTTATTATTCGATATAATAATGTAAGTTCACGTATAATAATGAATTATTGAAGAACTGTTTCTTTCATTATGATTTATAGGCACCATTTTATGATATTCAATTAATTCAACGTAATTTTACTATCATTCGTCAATCAAAGGGATTATGTGTTCATAGTTCAGATATTTGTCAATCAGAAAAATCTAGTTTGTTACTTGCTCGTAACAGACTTACACTTTATGTATTCAATCCAACCGTTGAACATTATTTTGTTAATGAACATGCTCAAGAAATTTGTAATTATTATCGTCAATCAGCACATCATTTAGCTGCACAATTAAATTTACCTTCCATTAGTCAAACAATCGAAGATACATCAATGATATCTTGTATTAATGATCTTGAATCAACCGGAGATAGACGAGTAAATATAAACATATCAGGAATCTGAGTGGAATAGGACGAAGTTCAGAGTCTTAAGCGGTTTTCTTCGTTTTGTCTCATGAAAAAAAAAATGTTGATTTTGAAATATGCTGAATAATAGAACTTATTATGCTCTCGACGTTGATCTGTTTCAACCATAGAAAATTTCGTTTTCTTTTTTCTTTCTTATTGAATTTTTAATCATATAAAAACTTTAATGTTTTTATAGAAGTTTAAAC